TCAACATCCCTGCCTGGTGTGAATGTGAGACTATGGAGAATAATTTTCTCATTTCCAAAAGCTGGCTATAACGTGTGTGGATCATGGCGGTCTCTTATTTTATTTTATTTTATTTTATTTTATTTTATTGGCTACTACTTATTAATCTTCAGGTTTACATCTTCATGGGAGGATATGCAGATCCTCCATGAGCCACTTGTGTTGGGTGCCTGGCAAGTCTTATGCATAATGCTTTGGGCCATTACACAATGTTTTCTGCTCTCTGGGAGTTTATGGCCCGTGTTGGGAGGGGGTGTTGGGAGGGGGAGCTAATTAATATACGGCATTAACTAGGGAGTCAGAAGATCTGAGTTCCAGGATCAGCTTCACCAGTTAGCTCGACTGTGTGACTCCTGACAAGTCCAGCTTCGGTCCTCAGTTTTCCCATCTGTACAGTGGGTATATTGGCCTCAATTATTATCAGGCCTTTTTGGATCTATTATCCTAGATTATTCTCTCCTCTACATTTTATCTTCTCACAGGATTCTGACATGGTGAACATTCAACCAGTCTTAGATGCTGACCATTTTTTTGAGTTTTGTAGCTGTCGAATCCTCTTTTTTCTCAAACATTCTTTCCCATGCTTTATAGATTTCATCTCTTCCTTGCTTTGAGGGCAATTATCTCATTCATTTATTCCTTAAATTTCAGTGGTTCTACTGCTGTCATTACAACTGTCCTCCAAACAGCATCCTCTCTGGGCCATCAGCATGGCTGTCACTTCCATATATGAATCTTGTTTCATCCTCAGAACAGCCTTTCATCATTATGTATAATATTAATAAATCCCCGCATGCAGTTCCCACAGAGAGCTGTCTACATGAAGGACCAGAGGCTAGAGGAACAGGGCCCTTTAAAAACATCTTACCCTAATGAATTCCAGTATTCCTAGTAAGCATCTTCCTGTTTTCAGCAGTGACATTTACAACTTGGCATCTTATTTCATAATTACATAAAAGGATAACAATCTGGACAGATGCCCGCATGACAGTGCAGGCTGTGTGCTAGGGGCTGTCGGCCTCCCTGAATAGAAGGGAGTGTCCTCCTGCCATAGCCTGAAAGGTGACAACTGGGTCAGTCCTTTCATATTAGTGTGAAGGGGTCACTTGTGTTGGAGCTTCTGCGTCTTTCCTTGCTAATCAGTTAGCCTCAGTTTGGTGGAGTCCCTCTCGAGAAAATGTTAGCAACTTTTAGCAAACCCTTCCTGAAAGGTGCTTTACAAATGAGGAGTTATAAAAACTATGAAAGCATCTCAAATTCCTGTGTCTAAGGACTGTGCATGATCTTCTTAGGTTCATTCTCAGCCAGTCCCAAAAGGGCAGTGAAAGCACTCAGATTTGTTGAGGGGCTTATTAAGACAAGGCCAGAGCTATGCCCAAATGTGGGAGCTGGGTCTCTTTGGGAGAAACCTGATGTGCCTTAGCTCTGCCTTCACAGCACATTCCCTTCCTCAGGGAACACTGTCTGTGCCAAGGGTGGTGAGACAGGCACAGGTAGCAGTGACCTGAGGCAGGCAGCCACGATTTCTGACCAGGGCAGGGCCTGTCCAGGAAGGCCAGGGAAGGAGGCCTTTGGGCTGCCCCTTGTAGAATAGGTAGGATTTAAACGACCTTGAAAGACCAGAGTACACATAGCCCGTGGTAAGCTTTCAGGAAAGATTGACTAATGGACTGAATGAATGCATGGCCTCTCTATCATCAGGAGTTTCTTATAGTGAAATTACCATTGTCATGTAGAGGATTTTCCTTAAATTCCACATTAGACCAGCTTGTGGCTCTGCTTTTTTGTCTGTGAAGGTCTTTGCCACTTCTGCATACTCCTGGGGTCCCTGTGTGCATAGCATTGGAGCCAAAATCTGCCTCCCTGGAGCTGCTCTCTGATCGGAAGGGGAATCAGGGTCTATGGAAAGAGCGTGCTGGGGTTTCAAGTCAAGCAGACCTAGGGTGAGATCCCAGCTCCAATACTTATTTGTTGTGGGACCTTGAGCTATTGTTTTAAACTGCTCTAAGCCTCTGTTCCTTCATCTAAACATAGGAATAACTCTGTGAGAAATAAACTATTGCCTGTGCAATGCTGGACACTTAAAAACCACTCAAAAAAAAAAAGGGTGCTTCTTTCTGGCCATCATTGATGTTATTGGAAGTAATCCCTGGGGCCATGATGAAATTTACTCTTTTCTCATAACCTTGACAATGTCACAGAACTACCACTATGCATGTTTGAGGCCTCCCCATCTCCAGGCCAAATGCCCATGCCATCCCCTACCCACCATTCATCCACAGAGCCTGCGATGATGTGGTGTCTCTGCTTGGGATGATGGTGCCATCCTGTCCTTGTCTTATAAGGGCTCTGCTGTACCTTGTGTAAGAGCAGTTTATGGGAACTTGGGGTGCAGGAGATGAACTGAAAGGAAGAGAAATGTCTGAAGGGCGTGTGTATGCTGGGTGGTTTCCCCGTTATGAAATCTTTCTTTTTTTTTAAGATTTTATTGGGGAATTGGGGGAGGGGAACAGTGTTGGGGAATTGGGGAAGGGGACCAGCCAAGTTGTTGTTCTTCAGTCTTAGTTGTGGAGGGCACCAGTCGCCATCTGGCTGCCCATCGGCAGCTCGTGGCCTCTAAGCTCAAGGTGCTGTGTTCAGTCTTAGTTGCGGGTGGGTGTAGCCACCATCCCATGTGGGAGTTGAACCCAGCAGCCTTGTTAAGAGCGCATGTTCTATCCACTGAGCCATCCTGGTGGCAGCTCAGTTCAGCGTGCCGAGTTCAGTCTTAGTTGCGGGTGTGTAATCTTGTTGTTACACCAGCTGAGTCATCCTGCCACCTGTTGGCAGCTCAGCGACAGCTCAGCTCGGGTGCAGCGTCACTGGCCCATGTGGGAATTGAACCAGCAGCCCTGTTGCTCAGAGCTCATGCTCTTAAGCCAACTCTTAACCAACTGAGCCACTCGGCCGGCCCCCCATTATGACATTTTGATGGCGGCAACTCTCAGTCCTGGACCTTTTCTCCTGGTACATGGTGTTCACCTAAGGTCACCATCAGGTTCCTTCCCTTTCTTTCCCAGGGCCTTGTGTGAGAACAGCAGGCTCCTGGAGGCTCTGCCCTAGGGCCTCTTTCTAGTCTCCACTTTGTGATTTAGGGCAGCTTCCTGGGAGACAGCGAAGTCACCACAAGGGACTCCCAGGTCATCACCTTGCCTGGTTTCTATGTTGTTATTGTTTGTAGTGCAGGAGGGAAAGCGGCATTTTCACTCACATTTGTGTGTGGGGCGGGGGAGGGGAGGGGGAGAAGTATGAAGCCAGGCAGACAGCAGGGTCCACATTGGCCTGCTGGGCCCCTTGTCTTATACCCGCTTCCCACAAGGGCCAGAGAGGCCAGCTCTGGTGCTCTCTCACTTTCCTCTGCCTGGGCAGCTGGGTTGTCACCTACTGCAACTTTTTTTTTTTTCCCCCAGAAAACTCACATAGGATATCAAGTAATATTTTGTTTCTCTGTATCACAAAGGAAAATGGACCAAGGAACAAAAAATGAATTCGTTTTTCTTAAATCATAAGCTGTGATTTCTTCATAGGCTAATTTAGAGAATGGCTATTGAATTCCACAAGCATTCCTGAGCATTTACGGGATTCCAAGCCCGCACAATGAATGGGTGGAGGCCGAGATGCCAACGATAGGGTCCCTGTCTTCAGAGGGCTTCCAGGGGCAGGCTGTGCTCAGATAGCCGTCGGGCTCTGCAGCAGGCAGCCAGGAAAAGGCTGCTGAGGCGTGGCAGGGAGGGCCCCCGTGTCCTGGATGGTGTTAATGTTACTTCAGCTCTCCATGCCTGTCCACAGTCCAGGTCCAGTCCTTGCCGTCGGCTTCCGTGAAGTTTTCCTTCACTGCCTCAGACCTCAGCCTCAGCGAGTCCCCTGCTCGCCAAACCTTAGAGCCCTGTAGCCTGTATACACGCCGTTTCCCATCTGTTGTCCCATCTTCTCGGCATCATAGCCTCACGAGGAACATTGTATTATCCCCACTTTAACAAACGAAACCGCTAAGGTTTAGAAAAGTAAAAGAGTTTTCCCAGGGTCACAGAATTCATCAGTAGCAAAACTGGAACTTGCACTCATGTGGTCTGATTCTGTGTCAGGCCTTCTCCTTAGTACCAAGTGCTTTCTCCCCTTCATCACTTAACCCCAAGCACCAGCTCTTTGAAGCTCCCATAGCCCCTCTTGTATTTCATGTCAGGACTCATTCCTCCCTCTCTGTTTTCAGTCACCTGTGTGGCTCTCCTTGGGGACAGGGTCCCAGTCAGCCTGGTGTCTGGTCCCCTCCTAGCCCGACAGCCTAGGAGCTCAGCCAGGCTCGGTAGGGTGAAGGATGAGAGCGTTAACCTGGCCTGTGGCTCCCTCCTCCCTTCTCGCTGCTGAGTTATCTGGAGGCAATGGAAGCAAACAGCTCTTACATGCCGGGTAATTGTGAGACTCAGTTTGTCTAACCTGACACATATTTAGGTTTGCAGAATGTACTAATATGGGCCGAAGACAATAACGGTTTTGGCCCCTCTCCCCGGGGGTCGTTTACCACCTGTGCCCCAAAGAGAAACACCTGTATGCTTTCAGTTTTAAGTAGGGTATCCATATAATGTGTCAGACACTTTTGAGAATGAAATGGTGCACTGTTGACAGTTACACCAGGACAATAGACCTAAACTGGAGCACGTGGTCACCAGGTTTGAAACAAGATGTGTGTCTGCAATCGGAAGGAAAGACGTGGGGTAGTTGTTTATGGAGACGTCTGGCCTTGCGGAGGGGGTTGCTGGCAGATGAAGGGCCTTTGTTTCCAGCGGTAACTTTGCATCTTCAGTGACAGCGAGAATAATCGAATACCTTTCCTACACCTTCCACTTTATTATCTATAAATAGCTGAGCCTCCCAGGATGTGTGTCTCTGTCTTATTGTTGTCTTCTTTTTTTTTTTTCCTCCAGAGATCCCGCGGATAATTCAGCTGGACCTAGACCTAAAGTACAAGACCAACATCCGGGAATTGTTTGAGGAGTTTGACAATTTCCTGCCAGGCGCCATCATTGGCATCGCAAGGGAGATGCAGCCAGTGTATAGGTACGTGGCAACTGTAGGGAGGCGGCCTCCAGGATCCCTCCCCACCCCTGACCCCCTCTCTCCTGCCACTCATGGCAGATTGGGATTTACTGGTATGCAGTCTTTCTGCACTTAATCTCTTAGGGACACATTTTTAAATTTATTGCTTACAATTAATAGTATGGACAGGGGGGGTTTGCCTGGAGCCATAGATGCTATCTCATTCTTTTGGGGAGATTGTGACATTTTTCTTATGGAAAGCTTAGCTGTTTTAATTGTTGGTTCTGGTTAAGCTCAGAATTTTAAAATCTGGGTCTTTGTGTTACAGAGGTGGTATCAGGATGTAGCTTTAAGTTGCCAGTCCGGTGATGCACTAGGCTTTCCTGGCCTCAGAGTCACCCTTGAGCCCTCCTCTGTATAAGCAGGGTGGGCTTATTGGTGTCCTCTAGGGAGGGAAAGGCAGCACAGCTTTGGAACACAGGTTGGCATTACCTAGTGGAGGTGAAGAAGTGCATTCTGTGCGAGGTAGTGCTTTATTGTCAAGTGTGAGTGTGCGTCATAGAGAAATTCCAGCACCTGAGAACCAGGAAACACATTGAAGATATTCACTGCAGCATTGTTTGTTGTCACCAAAAACTGAAAACAACTTACATGTCTGTAGCTAGCAGAATAGATAAATAAAATATATTTATCTAGTTGAGTACTACATAAAATAAAAAATGAGCAAACAGTAGCTATGTGCACTGGTAGGCAAAACTAAACTGTAATCTTTGGGGATGCATGCACAAGTGGTAAAGACTATAAGGAAAACCAAGAAAATGACGATTCCCAAAAGTTAGCATGGTGGTTATTTCTGGAGGGGATGGGGCGAGTGACGGGGAGGGGGACATGGGTGGGCATGCTACAGTGCTTTAGTTCTCCACCTGGGTGGCTGTGCATGTGTTTGCATGCGCTTTTTTTGTGTAATATATTTCTTACAATGGAAAAAGAAAAAAAAAAAAAGGGAAGGAAAATCAGAAGCACCTATGGGTTTTTCTAAAAACTAGGCCCATGGCCATGGGTGCAAAGAGTTCCATGTGGTTGACTGCCTGCCCTAGGCAGAGCCGTAGCTGACTCAGAGCAGAGCTGCCTGGAGCTGGTATTTCACTGCCCCCTGGGCTGGCTTGCTCCTTATTCTCAGTGCAGACCCTCATGCTGGCTCCCTATGGACATTCCTGGAGCTAGGCCCAGTCTTTGGAGAGCTGCAGGGCACAGTCAAGTAGTGACTCACAAGCACGCATTTCTCCTAAGAGGGAGGGGGAGAAGCGACAGCCCCTGATTGGTTGTGGCTATTTGCAACAAGACCCAGATCATATAACAGGAAATTCCTGCAAGGCCTCTGAATGAGCTGATAACTCCTGGGCCTTATGGTCCTGTTCCCCCAGATGTAGTAATCCTTTCCAATGTTTTCCCAGAGTCACCAAATAGCGCCTCTTACTCTGCTACAGGGGAGTGGATGGGATAGGGTTTGGGCAAACATACAGCAGCCTCCCTGCCTCATTCCCTCACCTTCAAACAAGGTGTATCTTATGTCTGGGATTCTCGATTTCCCAAAGCAAGGTGTTGGAAGGAGCACTGAACTAGGAGTCGAAAGTCCTGTATGCTAGTCCCAGCTCTGCCACCATGCTTGGAGCCTTGGCTCCCCTATCTGAGAATGGGACCAGGCGTGCTCCAAGACCTCACCCTCCCCGCTCTGGCATTTGGGATCCCAGCTCTTCTGACCCTCACAATTTCCTCATTGTCTTTCCTCTGTCCAGAAGCTGCTTGTCTGATGGTGAGCTCCTCACTGCTCCATAGGGGCCAGTGGCCTTGCGATATTTAAACCAGGCTAATTATTAAATGCAGTTAGAACAGCGATGCCTTCCAGCCCTGGTTTGGAATCTTCTTATGTAATATAAATGGAAACCTGATCACACTTAATTTAAAATGGCAGGAATTTATGTTTTTTGTAGAGCTAGGATTTTTATAAGCTGTGAAACTTAAATCAGTGTAATTGTCTGGTCTTCTCTAAAGCAATCTCTGAAAGATTTTTAGATCCAGAATGAAATTGAGTTTTTTCTCACCTTCAGAGTTTTTAATTATCATCATGTACAAAGAGAAATATGAGACCTCTGTCGAGTCCAAAAAATGTCCTGTTTGCAGGGCCCACGCACTCAGAATCAATAGGAATGAACCCTCCATGCTTGTCCCTTCCCCTCTTTCATTCTTCCCCAAGCTGAAAAGTCTCTAAAGGTCCCTAATAATTAAATCTAAAGATGACTGCCCTGCACTAATCTATGCCTTACTGGCTCTGGGTAATTGCCTTTGAATGTTTGCATCTCATTCTGGGGCTGTGAATGGTTTGGTGCTGGCTGGGGCGCACAGGGAATGGAGTGTGGGGTTTTTTTGGTGTGTTTTTTTGTTTTTTGCCTCCTTCCACAAGAAAACTGGAGACTTCTATGGGTCGAAAGACCAAGTGTGAAGTCGTCTGCCACTTTGGAGCCTGTACCTGGCTGTGTGTGTTTGTGTGGAGGCGGTGGGAGAAGAAAGAGAGTGAGTTAACAGTGCCCAAGCAAGGACAGGCAGAGCCGGGCCCTTCTTGTGAGCAGGCAGTCTCAGCGTCTGTCTCCTTGGACTTGGCCATCGTGGCTTATGGGAAATCCCCTGTCCAGCCATCTGCCCACCTCTGTGGGCACTCGCCACTCCCTGAGTGCTCCTCGGGGAACTGGCAGCAGAGTTCCAACAACTGTGTGCTCTCCCTAGGTGGTGGCGTGTGAGGTGGGCAAGTTTTTTTTTGTTTTTTTTTAAATCATAAGAATCTGCCAGCATCTCTGCAAAGAAGTTTAGAAACAAAATTTAGAAACAAAACAAAATTTAGAAACAAAACAAAATAGCACAAAAGCAAAACTTAGCCGATTAACCAAGCATACTTTGATCTGGAAATTCACTGAGCAGAAATAAATTTGGATCACCTCAACTGTGTTGTTTTTTATAGTCACTTGTCCGACAGTTACTGTACTTCAAAAAAGGCACATATTAAGTCATTTTTATGGCTGTTTCCCCTCTATTGTGTGCCATGAATATTAGCAGGTTGGAGTGGGGGGGTAGGGGAGAAAGTATTTCCCACTGTCCATTTGACAAATAGCTTTCTTTAAACATTTTTTTCCTCCCAAATTGACTGTGTTTTCTGGAAAATGATAGCTCATGGGGTGCTAGGGTAGTGATAGAGGAATCGTTTTTTCTTGGATTCTTGTTAAGATTCTGTTGTGTCAAATATCCTGTGATCTTCCTCATCTGAAAATTGGGGAGCAGTGGTTGTCTTGGGTGGGACATTGCCTTCCTTTCTTGATTCTTTCTCTGCCTCTGTGTCAGTGAAGTAGACCACAAACAGGTCCTCAGTGGTGATGTGTTTAGTTGGGATAAATGACCAAAAGGAGAGAAGGGTCTAGTGGTTTCTCAGTAAATAGAACGCTCTCTGTAGATAGACAACTGTATTTTGCACATGCTTGTTAGTCTAGGACGCCATTTTGAATTTGCTTTCTATGACTGAATTGGAAGACAAAAGAAAACTGTTGCATCCTCTTTATGAACAGCCTGTAAAAATAATAAAGCAGCAAAGCAGCTGCATGTAGAAGGAAGAGCACTCAGGTTGTACTTAGAAACCATGGATTATAGTCTTACCTTTCATGAATTACCCGTGTGATGTTTTGTAAGTCACTTGATTCTCTGACCCTCTGATTTTTCATCTGTAAGTGGAAATAAACATATCTAATACACAGAATGACTAGAAAATGCAAATGTATTAATAATATCTTGAAAGCCTCTGGTGTAAAACAGACCCTCAGTAAAGAGCATTTCCTCACTCCTCCACATAGTCCTCACAATTCCTTTTTGTGTTTTTTTTCCAGATGATTTTTTCTTCTGGAAACCTCCATTCTACCCCACCCCCAACCATAGAGAGTTACCGGTTAAAATACAGGACACCCAGTTAAAATGAATTTCAGATAATAAAAAAATTGTTTTGGGCCAGCCGAGTGGCTTAGTTGGTTAAGAGCTCACTTAAGAGTGTGAGCTCTGAGCAACAGGGTTGCCGGTTCGATTCCCGGCCTGAGCTGAGCTGCCAACAGGTGGCAGGATGGCTCAGCCAAAAAAAAATTGTTTTGTGTACGTATGTCCAAAATATTGCATGGGACATATGTATACAAATTGTTTGTTGTTAAATGAAATTTCAACTTAACTGGGTGTCCTGTTCTTTGTTTTTTTGGTTTGTCTTTGTTTTTGTTTTTTGCTAAATCTGGCAGCCTTACCCTTACCCAAGGGTTAAAACCTTCTCTTTTTAGCCAAAGCAAGTGATGTAGCTTTTCTACAAGATCCTTGAGTAAGCAGGAACAAAGGGTACAGAAGTGGAGCTTGTGAGGGAAACAGGGCGAGAGAGTGAGGGGTGGGAGGCAGCTCTCAAAGCCTCCATGAGGAAACAGGCCTGAGGTTCACTGCTGTGCTAGAGGCTTGAGTGTGGTTTTGGGGGGGAGACCATTGGGGCTAGGAAGCCTGGCAGTGGCTTAGATTCAGGCCACAGGGCTCCTGATGAGGGGAGAGAGAGAGAGAGAGAGGGAGAGAGGGGG